TTTCACTGGCCCACTATTTTTCCAAGCATGATGACCTTCTCCAGAGACTGGTCCCTCCTAATAAGATGCCCAAAGTATATGGGATGATTCTTGCCATCCTCACTTCTAAGGAGCATTCTGGCTGCATTCTCCCAAGACAGATTTGTTCATTCTCCTGGTAGTCCATGGGATACTGAATATTCTCCATCAATACTACAATTCAAAAGTATCAATACTTCTTCAATTTTCCTTATCCACTGTTCAGCTTTCCTATGCATGAGGCAAAAGAAAAAACCTTGGCTTGAGTCATATTACCTTAGTCCTCAAAGTGACATGTTTGCTTAAAGACATTTTCAAGAGATCTTTTACAGATTTGGCCAATGCAGGATGTTTGATTTCTGACTGCTGATTCCATGGGCATTAACTGTGGATCCAAGAAAAATTAAATCCTTGAGAACTTCAGTATTTTCTGTGCTTATCATCATGATGTTTATCGGACCAGTTGTGATTTCTGTTTTATGTCGAGGTTTATTCCATACTGAAGGCTGTAGTCTTTGGTCAAGTCTTCTTTGCTTTCAGCAAGCATGGTTGTGTCATCTGCATCTTGCAGGTTGTTAATGAATCTTCCACCAATCCTGTTGCCACATTCTTCTTCATACAGTCCAATTTCTTGGATTATCTGCTCAATATACAGACTGAATAAGTATGGTGAACGGATATCACATGCAAGTTCCTATGCAGATGGCATTTCACAACAGTAATACTGTCTGAGTTACTGATTAATCATTAATAAATGGTGAGGGGACATTCTACTATCACTTTGAAAAAATTAGGTTAATAATATAAACAAATAATTAGTTTCATATCAGAAACAAAAATTCCAAATGGGTAAAATTATTTAATGAGGAAAATAATTCAGAAAAACAGCAGAGTATATGTATAGGTATAAATTGAGAAGGTCACCTTGAGTAAATCCAGAAATTTCAGAATCTATAAAGGCAAAGACAGATTTTACTACATAAAGTTAGAGCCAAACAGAAAAATGGTCCAAAGAATATGAACAGGGAATATGCAGGATAAGTAAAATGGTTAATATATTTAAAAGATAGCCAACTTGAGTGAACAACAACAAAAATTTTACCCTATCAGATACACAACAATTAAAAAATCACTGGCATATAGTGAGTACAAAGTTGTGTCTGGAGGGCTTGAAGAACGCTATCAAAACTTAAACATCCATTCCCTTTGACCTAGCTATCCTACTTTTGAGAATCAATCCTGCCAATATACTTGCAGAACAATACCAAAGTGCATCACCAGGATGTTCTCTGAGCACTACCTATAATGTACAAAACCATCAGCAACCTGATACTACCGAAAGAGGGACAGACTTAAATAAATACTGTAATACTCATACTATGAATACTCATACTATGATCATTTCTTAAATAAAGTAGATGTAAATATACTGACATAAGACTGCAAAAAACACACTTGACTTTTCTAACATGTCTTCCTAATTTATAGAATTTGAGACTTTGATTTCACTTCTTCTTTAAAGAGTCAGCAAATTGTGATTCTAACTTAAAATAGATTAGTAATTTAAAATAGATTAATATACCTGTAAGGCAATTCATAACAATATGCATATCTTTCAAGCAACACTACTTCTTAAGTGCCTATTTTTAAAATAATGACAATGAACTCAGTTAAAACATGCTTGCTTATACCAAATGTACGGTAAAAAAGTATTCAAAATCAAGCACCAAAGACTGAACATTAACTTATTAAGCACAGAAGCATTCTTGAACTTGGTATTGCCCTATCTCCAAAAATATCAAAATCAAAATACCATTTTTATTCCCATCCAAGTATGCCTTCCAAGAAAAAAGGTAAGATGAATAATGGTTTATGTAGTACTTTCAACATTTGAACAGTGAAATATGATTTCCACAGAAATTTATTAAACTGATTTTATGAATATAAATTGAATATACTGATAGCCTATTTTAGCTGTTACCTCCTCAGTAACTAGTTTCACAAAAACAATGACTCAGGATTTCAAAAAATTTTTCAAAACACTTCATGTTTTTATTCACTGCAAATACTTTAATAGTGGCTTCCTTAAGGATGAAATAGCCAATTCTGAACTGACACTTTAAATTTATGGCCCATTTCAAAAAAAGAACAACGAATGATACATCAGTATCTGGTCAATTACAGCGGTTGTTCAAAGCATGGTAACTGAAACTATGTGATGGTACCACAACTGATACGGAAGGTAAAAATCTTGACCTCTCAGCCTACACTTCAAAGTGATACCACCTACTTGGTATGAAAAATGTCAAATGCCTCAAGTAATTTTCACATCTTCTAACAAAAGGATCACTTAGTTCCAAATGAAAATTTACAAAAAGTTCTTTGGAATAATTTCTAAGTTTATGTAGAAATCAAAACATTTCTTTACTTGTAAAAAAAACATTTAACATAATTTAGGTGGTTTCTTTAACCATGATAAAATCCAGTCATACTCAATAAAAATATTCCTAGATTACTTTAAGATAGGGATTACTCCTAAAGAGGGAGGGAACAGAAAGGGTTTGACAGATACGCGCTTTAGCTTTTGCTGTAATCTTACATTAAGTTTAGTACAAATTGGGTACAAATAGGTCTTTTTGATGCAGCACACTGACCTGACTCTGGAAGCAAACTCCCTGGGTTCTAAACAATTCATTAGGTCTTTATGACCTTGGGCGAGTTATTTAATCTCCACATGCCTCACTGGAAGCCTATTCTTCCTTATCTGTAGAATAGGAATAATAAAACTTCCTGTGGTATAGGACTGGTGTTAAGATTAAATGAGTTATTATATGTGAAGTGTTAGAATAGTATCTGATAATGGTAAACACTATCATTATCATCATCATCAGTCTTACCATCTATGACCATCATGAACTATGAAACCTGCCTGGGAAGCATTAGGGAAAGAGGGAGGTGAGGGTGGTCATGGTGACATCTGTGCTTCTACTACACTCATATTTTAAACATAAGTTATGTATCTGTATCCAGTGGTAGATAAATGACCATTGTCACAAGTGAGAAAGCAGTATAAAGTAGAGAAGTAAAGTTTCAGTCTTCTCTTCAATTTTCAAAAACATGAGACAATACAAGCTTTGGAGTTTGATATTTATTTTTAGCAGGAAGAATATGCTAATGGATGATGACATCATTAGAAGATACGCCCATGTCCAATACCTGCAACAGAAGCTCGACAGAAGTTAAAGAAACCATACCAAAAGACCAAAGACAAAAACTGTATATGACATTACTTACCCTTAATTCTGTTAACAATAAAACAAGTAACAATTATTAAGATTGAAGTTTCATCAATCTTAACAATCAAATCAATCAACCAGTTAACAATCAAATGTCTTTTAAACAAAAATTCCATCTTTCCTTTCTTCACAGAAATGGGCAATCTCTCCAAAAGCACCAACAACTATTCTCTGGGGGCCAGTCTTATATGCAAGAAAAGGAGTTGAGAAGGGGAAGCACTAAAAGAACTGGTGACAATTTGGGGTGGCAGAGCTCTGCTGCTGATACTCAAAGTAGTATTCAAAGAACTGTTCTCACTGGTAGCAATGGCGATTCAATCTAAGGACCATCTTTGGCACAATTAGGGATTGCTGAACCATGATGTGATCACTAATGAGTAAAATCAACTCAATAGAGGGAGCATCATGGCACACCTAACAAATTTATGTGAACTGTCTCTAAATAAAAGGACCCAGACAAATTAGAAAGTCTTCTACATAGCATAAGGAATTGCCATCTCTCCCTTTCTCTCTCACTGCAGTCAAGTTGGATCCGACTCATAGCAACCCCTCCTGGGGTTTCTGAAGCAGTATCACTATGGAAGTGGACTGCCCCATCTTCCTTTCAAAAAGAATTGCTATAGCAGTAAACAATTTAAACAATAACTATCAACTGAAAGATTATTTTATATAGGATCAAAAATGGCTCATCGACCACTGACAATGGCTACTCTGTTCAAAGAAAATCTGGATGTTTCTTTTCTTCACCCCCTGCATTTCCAGATCTCTCATACAGTTCATGACAGGTGTACCTCAAAGATATTGCAAATACTGTAATTTAGCAAGCAACAGAAATTTTTTTGTTTCCCAGTGCACAAAAAGTTATATTTATACTATACTGTAGTCTACTAAGTGTGCCAGAGCATTATGAAAAAGTTTGAAGTATTCTAAGAACTACCAAAATGTGACCCATTAACATGAACTGAGCATATGCTGTTGGAAAAATGGTGCCGACAGACTTGCTCAATGCATGGTTGCCACAAACCTTTAATTTAAAAAATGTAATTACCAGTGAAGCTCAACAAAACAAAGTATGCCTGGACTCAAAATAGAAAGGAACAATGACTCTGCACCCAAAGGCAATGTGCGAGCCAAGTGAGGGTGGTTAAGCATTAGAATCTAGGGTGGAGCAGGATAGTAATTTGAAGAGCAAAATCGATGCATTGTTAATGGGGAGGGGAGACTAAGGACTGGCGTATTCACAACAAATTCAATGCCCAGATAAAGTCTTCTTATTTTTTAATTGCATACTTAAAAGTCTGCACATACTAAGGATAGGAATTAATAAATCCACCCACAATTTACTGCAGTTAACACCAGACTTTATACCAACTACTATTTTCCTAGTATTTTTTTTCTTGAAGATAAGGGTTTAAATTGGTAAGATAAAATTATTATTGCATAAAATTCCATATGAATAATGTTAAAATATAACTAATTCTGCTAAGTCCAATTTCTAAGTTTACTTAGGTCGATTTGGTTCAACTAGAAGGAAACTCATTAATACAAGGAGCTTACCTGGGCTATTGTCTAAAAAGGTCTATGTATAAAAATATGCAAAATGTGTAGGTACATTAAGGTATCTCAAAATTCCTACTAAAAAGTAAATTAAATAAATGAGCACTAAAGAAGGAAAAGGTTACGCACTTCCAATTTATGCTCTTTCTCTGCAAGGGCTTCTTTTTGACAACGAAGAAAATCTGATAACATTCGAGTGAGTTGCTTCCTATCATCTATTTCTGCAGCCAATCTGCCATTATAATCTGCCAGCAACATACAAGCATCCTCTACCATTTTAGAAAGCCTTTCTCCAGATTCTTTATCTAAAAAAAGCAGAGAATAATAATATTATTATACAATAAAAATGACGCCATATGCTGTTCCTTCATCCCTACTTCCAAGAGAGTTGTGCACATATTTTCTTTTCTTACCTGTTATTTTATCTAGTAGGGATACTTCTTGGACTTCAACAGGCAAAGAAGCTATCCTCTGATGAACTGCCGCATCACCTGAAGCTGCATTTTCTAGATCTTGTAATGCTCGAACGAGATCTAGAGTCTAAAAATTTATACAACTTTAGAACCAAAATAAACACAACACATTACACAACTACAAAAAACTTGACATTTTTTCCATATTCTTTAATCCTTATGGACAAAAGTTTCAAATATAAACTGTTTTAGAAAACAGTCCATTTATATTATATTTTAAGAAACTGAAGATATACTACGCTGTTAGAAATATAAATCAATCAAGTCCCTAGGCCTTGAGGTGTCCACTTGAGGTCCCTTATGGTGAAAATTCAAGCTCTTGTCTATGGTGACCAAGTGGGCTTTAGCATTCAGTTTTTGATCCAACAGGTAGCCTGGCTGAGAATTTTGATCTGATTCCTTCTGCCTCCCTAGTATTCAGACTGATATAAAGCCACAGTTGGAGACAGTAATTGGTTGTTTCTTTCCTTCAAGTTCCTTTCATAGGGGAGACAAGCCCCTGCCTCTGGTTTCACGCAATGAGTTTTGAGTCCAACTCCTCCAGCTCACATACAGCACTGAGTTCTCATTAGCCTACAGAACACTAATTTCTGAAAACTCATGTCTACTCTCTACTGACCAGAACTGAGTAGAAACCAGTCTTTGGCAGCCATTTGGTTAAACATGCTATACTGTATAAATATATACTTGCTACTCTAACTTTTTTTCATATTTAAAAGCAAAAATGGACAGTATTTACCTCTAAGAATGAAATTTTTAATATAGTTTAATCATATAGTAAGTCTTATTAAGGAGCTCTGGTAGCATAGTGCCTAAGGCACTTGACTGCTAACCAGAAGGCTGGCGGTTCAAACCCACCAGCCACTCCTCGGAAGGAAGGTTGGGCATTCCTATTTCCGTAGTGATACTGCCTCGGAAACCCAAGGAGGGGTCGCTATGAGTCGGGGCTGACTCGATGGCAAATAACAACAACAACAACAAGTCTTATTAAATAATAATGGATTTATTGAAACAAACCAAACCAAACCCACTGCCATCAAGTAGATTCTGACTCATAGTGATACTTTTGGACAGAGTAGACCTGCCCCAGGGGGTATCCAATGCTACTGATCTTTTTGGAAGCAGACTGCCTCATCTTTCTCCCACAGAGTGGCTTGTGGGTTTGAGCTGCCAAACTTCTGGTTAGCAGTTGAATGCTTTAACCATTGCATCACCAGAGCTCCTCATTTATTTAAAAGGAAACTTTAAACAGTGGATTATCTCACCAAACCTAATCATACTTAGCAGTTCGATATCTGCTTTCTATGTGAAATGTAATTGTGTACTATACTACATTAAATATAATTTGTTAACCAGAAAAGGGATACTCATTTAACTTCTTTCTTATAGTTAAAAGTATAATAAAAATTAATTTACAAAAATAAAACACCACACTTTGAAGACAACATTCAGGGGGCCAATAAATACATGAAGAAATGCTAGCAATCATTAGCCATTAGAGAGATGCAAATCAAACAACTATCAAGATACCATCTCACCCTGGCAGTAAGAGCAATTATCAAAAAAAACAAATGCTGGTGAGGGTGTGAGGAGACTGAAACTCTCATACACTGATAGTGGGAACTGTAAAATGGTGTAACCACTGTAGAAAACGGTATGGCGCTTCCTTAAAAAGTTAAGAGAAAGAGGTACCATATTAATCTAGCAATCCCACTATTAGGTAAACATGCTAGAAATAAGAGCCATGACACAAATTGATATATACACACCCATGTTCATCACAGCATTATTCACAATAGCAAAAAGATGGAAACAATCTAAATGTCCATCAACTGAAGAAAGTTGAAGAAACTATGGTATATACACACAATGGACTACTATGTAATGTTAAAGAATAATGATAATTTGCAAACACCTCATAATATGGGTGGACCGAGAGGTCTTTATGCTGAGTGAAACTAGTCAATTGCAAAAAAACAAATATTATATGAGATCACTATTATAAAAAGTCAAGAAAAGGTTTACACACACAAAGAAACATTCTTTGATGGTTACCAGGGATGGGAGGTATAGAGAAGGAAAATCACTAATTATATACATATTAACTTGGGTTGAAGGGAAAGGCAACAATGATAAATACTATTACACACACAATCTTGTAGTAAGAGTAATAACAATAATTTACAACTTGATACATAAGTAGATATGTAACCTGAACAGGTATGGGATAGCATATGGGAGCATACCCACAAGCATATCAGGTTTGGAAGAGGATATTTCTACACATAAATTTGTATGTGCTCCAAATATAGCCAGGTATACAGCAGACCATTCAGGGGGTAATGTTATTCAAACTTCGTAGCCATAACAAAACCCCTTGAGGGAATGAGTCACTGGGAATGGAGACTAAGAAACTCCAGGGACACTGAGGTCAAGAGGGATGACACAGTCTACAAAGACAATGTTCTACATCCTACTTTGGTGAATAGCAACTAGGGTCTTACAAGCTTCAGAGCAGCCAGCTAAGGTATACCTATTAGTCTCCCTGTCCTGAGCAAAGAAGAATGAAGAAAATAAAAGGCACAAGAAAACAATTAGTCCAAAGGACTAATGGACCACACAAACCACAGCCTCCACTAGTGTGAGACCAGAAGAACTAGATGGGTCCTGCTACCACTACCAATTGCTTTGATCAGGATCACAACAGAAGGTCCTGGATAGAGTTGGGAGAAAAATGTCGAACAAAATTCAAAATCATAAAAAAGACCAGATTTAGTGGTTTGATAGGCACTGGTGGAACCCCTGAGACAATAAACTGACACACTTCGAACCTGGAAGTGAACCCACTCCCAGAGATCACTATTCAGCCAAACAACAGACAGTCCCATAAAGTGAACACTAACACCCATGAGGAATGTACTACTCAGAACAGTCAACCAACAGAGACCAAAAGGGCAGCATTTATCTAAAAACAAAGTTCAGAAGGAAGGAAGGGACAGAAAGATAGGTTAATGGAAACGGAGGACCCAGGGAGGAAGCACAGACTGAAGGGATGGCAACTAAAGTCACAAAATGTATAAAAACTGCTGAACTTTCACCCAAACCACAATAAAAATAACACGCTGAAATTAATAATGCTCAGAGGCCACATGAAGTTAAAATAACCTAATTCTCTTAACAAAGAAAAACTTCCACCTGTGGTGGTTCACTTGGAGATCCCAGGGAGGAACAGTTCTCATTTTCATCCACCTTTATCTGTTCATAAGTTCGCTTCCTAGGTTTCTTATCACCATCTAAAATGAAAGAATATTTAAGTTTTAATGCAAGAATATATTTTATTGAAGAGATTATGATAAAAAAAAAAAATTACATACTTACATAGAGCTTGCTTAAGTTGTTCTAACACATCATTTTCATAAACAGACCTTTCTTCCCAAATAGATAAAACTCTTCCAAGGTGCTTCTTACAACTTTCATCAGTTTCACTAAAGGAAAAATGATGAATGATGATTTTTAAATATAACCAGACATTTTCTGTAGGGGGGGAGGGGGAGAACAACTGTCCAAATGTTTATTGAGCACCACTATGTGGCTAGCGGGAGCTCTGGTAGCGTAGTACCTAAGGCACTTGACTGCTAACCAGATGGCTGGCGGTTCAAACCCATGAGCCACTCCTCGGAAGGAAGATGGGGCAATCTACTTCCGTAGTGATACTGCCTCGGAAACCCAAGGAGGGGTCGCTATGAGTCGGGGCTGACTCGACGGCACATAACAACAACAATGTGGCTAGCAGCAGAGGGGTGAGATAATCAACCAAGACATAGTCAGAGCTTAAAAGCTCTTAAAAGAGCTTATTATTAAACAATAGCTGCAAAAGTATTAGTACCAATTACCTAGGGTTTACAAAGAAGAGGCTTCTAACTTCATGGGCTGAACATGAGGCTAGAGGAGGCTTTCTAATAGCTGACTTCTTAATTCATTCAACAAATATTTATTGATCAAGGCACTATCCTTGACACTGAGGAAAAGAGAATAGGTATTCAGAAAGGGTAAAACAGAGACTTGGCTCAGTTTAAAAGAAATCAGTAAGTTTATTTGAGGAAATAATACTTAATCTGAGTTCTGAAGATCGGATATATGGGGAAATGGGAAACAAGAACGACTCTCAATCACTTCTATCCCCCCTTCATTACCACTACCATAGACTGAGGCACTGTTATGTCTTGCTTGGATTATTGTATCAGTCTTCTCACTGGCCTTGCAGCCTTTACTCTTTCATTTGATTCTCTATAAATCAAATCTTGCTGCTCTCACTCCTCTAAGAGTTACCATCACACCAAGAATAAACTCTCAAATCCACGCCCTAAGCCAGAAGGTCATCATAACTCCGCTTTCTGGCCACCTGCACTATTTTCTTCTCCAATACAAATCTCCTTGCTGATCCTCAAACATCTCCAGCACCTAGCTATCTTATTGTTTCTGCAAGTTTTCCCTCCACTTAGAATGCTTTTCCCCTCAATACTCAAATGACTCATTTCAACCCTTCCTTTAATCTCTGTTCAAACATCACCTCACCAAAGTAATTGTTCTTTATCACACTCCATAATTCAGTATCCACATACCCTCTAGTTACTTTCCTGCTTTATATTTCTTTATAGTACTTGCCATCTGATATTATTATATTCACTTGTCTATCTAGTTATTCATTACCTTTGCCATTCACTGAAATATAAGCTCTGTAAGAATAGAACTTGGTCTTGCTCAGTACTGTATTCTCTGGGCCTGGCACATAGTAGGCACTCAATAAAATTTTTTTCTTTTAATTTTATTGTTCTTGAGAATATGCACAGCAAAATATATACCAATTCAACAGTTTCTAAATGCAAAGTTTAGTGACACTGATTATATTCTTTGAGTTTTGCAACCTCTTTAAATGTTTTATTGAATTCTAAGGAGAGGTAACATATATAAAAGCCCAAAGGCAGTAAAACTAAGAGAGGTTCAGTAATTTAAACTGTAGACTATGGACTGTGTATGGAAGAAATGTGAGACGTTGAGTCTGGAAAGGTAGGCAGGGCCTTGAAGAAACATCTAAATCTTGCCCAGGACTTTAGACTTGATTTTGGGGCAAATAAGAACTACTCAAAGGTATTATGTATGGTCAGCTCTTCAACTCTGACTATAGTTTTCTGAATGGATTAAATGACAGTGGATGCAGAAAGCCCAGCTGGAGGTTACTGCAATCATTCAAAAAAGAAGTTAGGGGAACTGAAATAGAAATCCAAGAAACAAAAGGAAAATGTGTTATATGTGACAGGAAGTGAAGAAGAAAAAAGAGTTAAATGACAACTAATTACTTGCTTGAGCTTTGGGATATATGGTGTTGCCATTCACAGAGAGAACAAAACACTGAGGAAGAACAAGTATGACAGGCAGGAAGGACATAATGAATAAGGAGATCAGTATCAGAGAGGGTGAGTTTGAGCTGTTTACAAACATTCAAATTGAAATGGTAACTGGACATACAAATCTGAAGCACAGAAAAGACATCTGGACTGGAATGTAAGACTGAGCCACAAGGGAGTTGATAATAACTAAATACATGTAGTGTACAAAATCACCCATAGGGCAAGTGAAGAGTAAGACCAAAAGGCAGCCTAGGATGATACTCTTAAGAAACACCTAATTCTGAAAAGATGATAAAAGGCAGTACCCAAATTGAAGGATAAATAATAGTTATTTAAGAGAGCAACATACAATAATATTTCACACTCTGTAATCTTTCTTAAAAAGTATGTACTGTGAATAAAACTCGGGCATATAGTGAGAAGCTTTTCATTCTGGCATCATTCAACTCATTACCTCATTTACTATTGAATTCTGTAATTGAAACTAATTCAATTTACCATTTCTATTCAATTTTAAGGGACTTCTGGCAGCGCAGTGCCTAAGGTACTTGAATGCTAACCAGAAGGCTGGCGGTTCAAATTCACCAGCCACTCCTCAGAAGGAAGGTTGGGCAATGTACTTCCTTAGCGATACTGCCTTGGAAACCCAAGGAGGGGTCATTATGAGTTGGGTATGACTCGATGGCCCCTAACAACAACAACATTCAATTTTAATGTTTCCTTAGTCATCTACCAACTATATGCATATAATTTTTGGAAATAAGCATTTGAAAACGACATAAGCTACAGAACAGAGGCTTCTGATGCTCAGAAGTTTCTGTAGCAAAAAATTTTAACAGGTTTGATTACTTTAAATAAATACTTATTTCCAAAATATTTAAAATATTATGTCAAATACCCATATACCTGAAATCCATAAAATCATTAAAAGCTATATACAGGAAAGGGGTTTATTCGGAAATACTGGTTGGAAAACTGATAGCTTTTAAAGTGCCCAAATTTTCAATGCAACACCTTCATTCATTCTTAAGTTCACTCCAATAATGCAATTACATTTTTGTCTTTTAAGGGAAAGCTGTAATTCAAACACCTAACTTACCAACAATTCAATTTTTATTTTCTTCACAGAAAGCATTTAAAACATTTACAAATGTCATTGATGGGTAGATCTTTTCAAATCAAAGAAGAAGAAAAAAAAAAAAAAAAAACACCTCACATTCTGCTCTTTATTTTAAGATTTTAAGGCAAATTTTTGCAAACGGACAGACTGTGCATTTAAAACAGATTACCTAGTACCCAAAACAATGATCATACCTTGAAACATGCTTAAAAGCCTCCACTATAACTGGTGCAAAATCTTTTGTAAACTCCGGCCCCTTCCTTTTGCTGTTCTGAATGACATCATTGGCTAGGTAGAGAAAAGTAAGCTTCCTGTTTGGTTTGGCTGAAAAATAAAAAAATTTGAAAATCTGCTTAAAATATCCTCACTTAACTTGGACAAACTTTCTCAATGCATGATTTAAGCAGTTTGAGAATGACAACTACTAACCTTTATATATCATGCTCAGTTCGCGCTTCCTATTTTACTACCAAACTTAGCAAGTCGCTGCTGCTACACTAAGGATGACTACATTCTGATTTCTGCAGATCAATTACGTGAGAATAAAAGAGAGCCAAAGAGGCAAGAATAGGTAAGTGATAGATCTTTCTGTCTCTTTGACAGTTTTACTAAATCACTCAGACTATGTACTACCCTTGATTCTTAGCCTTATCACCGTTACAAAATATATTTTGAAACCCCCACATATGTATAAACATGCATCTCTTTGACTGCACATGTAGTAAATTTTATTAAAATCACTACAAACTATATGAAATATTGTCCCTTAAAATACGATGGTGACTGCTCATACTGTTAAAATGGTACCCTCAATCCCAAACAGAACTTAGGATTTGTTCTGATACCCGTGTTGAAAAAGCTATTACTCAACTTACTTAAAAGTAAGCTATTACGAAACAGGGAGCTCTGGTAGCATAGTGGCTAAGACACTTGCCTGCTAACCAGACGGCTGGCGGTTCAAACCCACCAGCCACTCCTCGGAAGGAAGGTTGGGCAATCCTACTTCCGTAGTGATACTGCCTCGGAAACCCAAGGAGGGGTCACTATGAGTCGGGTTTGACTCGACGGCACATAACAACAACAACAACGTTACGAAACAACAGAAGAGTACAAAAGATAATCCTCTGTGGATTACATTTTTTAGGGGGAATAACCTAAACATTGCCCATTTGTCCCTAATATTTGTACTCCTAGCATGGCAAATATTTATTGTATAAACAAAAATATCTTTAAAATGCTACGTAAATTCATGGGCTACTACTAATCACTCAAAATAATTCAGAATAGCTTCTAAAACAACACCCTAAAGTAAAAATTTGCTAGATTTCAAAATACATTTCCCAATATTCCAAATGACAAACACTGCACACAAAGGGGATCAAATATCAAGATACCGTTTTCCTTTTCTTTCTTTTGGAACATAGACTGAAATATGAAAAATAACTAGAAATCACCATAATTTATATCTTTCCTCAAACTTTCAGGGAGGAAAAATTTACTTCCATTTAAAACTATGTGAACTTTTACACAGAATAATAAATTAACGGAACTAATCTCAATAGAATGAGCCCTGGTGATAAAATGGTTAAAATACTTGGCTGCTAACCAACAGGTCAATGGTTCAAACTCACCAGCTGTTCTGCTAGAGAAAGATATGGCAGTCAGCATCCTTAAACGTTACATTCTTAGAAACCCTATGGGGCAGTTCTCTGTCCTATAAGGTCTTTATGAGTCAGAACTGATTTGAAACAATGAGTTAATCATAATTGGCAATGCCAGAAAAAAATCACAGGTGATTTTCAATGGATTTTGATAATTTTTAGAGTAACAGAGCCATAAACTATAAAATTTAACAGAAAGGGCAAGCAATTTCATAACTGTTTAAAGAAATACCTCTGTTGGCAACAAAACATAGGGCTAAGCAATAACTCTAACCGCATCAATTCTTATGTTTCTGTTGTTCATAAAGTCCCTTCCAAAGATCTCTATTTTCCAAACTTTTGATTAAATCTATACTGCTGTAAACTGGTATCAAGTTGGTTCCAACTCATGGTGACCTTACGTGTAACAGAATAAAACAATGGCCAGTCCTGTACCAGCTTCAAAATTGTTGGTACGTTTTAGAGTTCATTGTTTTGGCTACTGTGTCAATCCATGTCTCATTGAAGTTTCTCTGTAGCATAGTGGCTAAGGCACTTGACTGCCAACCAGAAGGCTGGCGGTTCAAACTCACCAGCCACTCCTCGGAAGGAAGATGGGGCAATCTACTTCCGTAGTGATACTGCCTTGGAAACCCAAGGAGGAGTCACTATGAGTCGGGTCCGACTCAATGGCACATAACAACAACAACAACACATCATCAAACATCGTTTCTTTCATGATGATGTTTAAAGTAAGTGAGCCAAAGTCTCAACATTCTCATTTATAAGGAACACTCCGCTTGTATCTCTTCTACGACTGATTTGTTCATTTTTCTGGTACTCTGGTTTATTCAATACTCTTCACTACACAATTTGAATGCCTCCATTCTGCTAGTGTCTTCCTTTTTCACCGTCTAGCTTTTGCATGCAAGGAGGCAAGTGAAAAGACTATAGCTTAGGTAAGACACAGCTTAGTCATTAAAATGACATCTTTACTCTTTTCCATTTATCATGATGTTCATTGGTCTTATTGTTGAGATTTTCTGCTCAGCTTAAGAAACACTTAATGTTTGCTGTGTACTAGGGGCACCACCCACCTGTCAGTTTGTCATACATACTGACATACTGTGGAGGCATGTGTGTTATTGTAATGGTAGAAGCTATGCCTCCAGTATTTAAAATACCAGCAGGATCACCCATGGTGGCTTTAGCAGAACTTCCAGACTACACTAGACTAAAAAGAAAGGCCTAGTGATCTGCTTCTGAAAATTAGTCAATGAAAACCATGTGGATCACAACATTGTCATCAAGAGGGATCAACCACTGGAGGAAGACATCATGTTTGGTGAAGGAGAGTGCCAGCAAAGGTGAAGAAGACAAAATGGAACAATATTTATGATGGACCAGCAATCATAAGGATGACGCAGGACAGGGCAACATTATGATCTGCTCTATGTAAGTCACCATGAGTCAAAGTCAACTCGACAGTAGCTAGCTAGTTAGCCATCTGCCAGGGACTATACTGGGCAAAGACCAAAAATTATCTTTCCCATTCAATCAAGAGTTTGCAAACACCATACAAACTGGCACACGATAGGCCACATCACAAAAAAAAGTTAGTTCTCTATTTTTTAAAAGCAATCATAATACAAATTTATATCCCTCTATGTCTGTATGTGTGCACAGTGCTATATTTAAACCAATAAAGCATAAGCCACCTAAGTACTGCTCAACACAAATTATAAGGCATCATGTTCTCACACCTCATCAACCTGAGCTAAAATTTAAGCTCCTTGTGGGTAGGAACTACAGCTCTTTGTCATGAAGCCTGCGTATAAACAGGTACACACATATAATCTGGTTGGCTAATATATGGGAACACAGTATTACTGAAAAGGGCACAGTAAAAAGTTTGTTTTACCACACAAGAATCAATTACACAGTCTCACAAACAATTCAATGGTCAGGCTTAAAAAATAAATCAGAGTCTAGGTTACTGAACAAACAATCCAAAACAAAGAGCCAGTGGAAGGATTAAAGAAATGCCATCTAGTTCCACAAATTTATAATCTAGTTTCACTTGCTCATAATCAAAAAGCATTACTTATTTTCTCAAAGCTTATGGACCACATGTCTACTTGTTCTGGTAAGACATAAACTATCATAATTTAATTGCTCATGCTTTTATAAAGATCGAAATGTAAAATTACAGTGGATAACAATGCTGATAAACACAACTAATAGCTAAAATACTATGCTATCTTTACACAGAAAAACTTTTTTTTTTTTTTTTTTGCCAAGAGAGGTCTTCTGCATGCAAGAAAGCAGCAAAAACTTGAATACACACACACACATATGCACACACACATCAATGTCAGGAATGAACATTACTGCGAGTGTTACAGCAGGAAATCAGGAGAACAGTCAATGTCTCAAAATAAATATTTATTGAAGACTTATTAATCACCATTGGCCATTTTTATTTATTTCCCTGGTAAACTGAATCACTACAGACTAAAATACTAGAATAAGGCACTATATACACTGCTTTTGCAGTAGGTTCATCTCAAGCCTTCAAATTAAATGTAATTTAGTTATGCTCTCCAAGTTTAATTTCATTGGATGGAAATAAATACATTTAACCAAAGGATAATTATAAATACCTATTTCCATGCCATTCAGGAGCTCTGGTAGCATAGTGCCTAAGGCACCTGACTGCTAAGCAGAAGGCTGGCAGTTCAAACTCACCAGCTACTCCTCGGAAGGAAGGTTGGGCAATCTACTTCTGTAGTGATACTGCCTTGGAAACCCAAGGAGGGGTTGCTATGAGTCAGATCTGACTCAGGATCCAACTCGACAGCACATAACAACAACAACAAACAACATGCCATTCATTCACTTTATAATTATTTACCATCTACTATGTTTACACACAATGCATTAAGGAATAAAACAAGACTCAGAATCAAATTCATAAAAGCCTTTTTAAGCCATTAAGTGAAAATATGCAATGAAACTTAAGTAGAAAGAACATTCCAGGTAGATGCTTCAGTGCATTGTCTAATGACTGCCCTGTTAATTTGTATGAGTAAATGATGGAGTATGAAGCTAGAAAGGAGTGGTTGTTGTTAGGTGCCATCAAGTCATCTCCGATTCACCGTGACCTTATGCACAGCAGAACGAAACACTGCCCAGTCCTGTGCCAGCCTCACAATCCTTGCTATACACAAGCCCATCGTTGCAGCCACTATGTCTATTCATCTCGTTGAGGACCTTTCCCTTCTTTGTTGACCCTCCACTTTACCAAGCATGATATCCTTCTCCAGGGAATGGTTCCTTCTGACAATATGACCAAAGTAGGTGAGACAAAGTCTGGCCATTCTCACTTCCAAGGAGCATTCCAGGACAGATTTATTAGTCCTTTTAGCAGCCCATGGTACTCTTAGCATTCTTAACCAACAGCACAACTCAAAAGCATCAACTCTTCTTTGGTCTTCCTTATTCATTGTCCAGCTCTCATATGTGTATGAGGCAACTGAAAATACCATGGCTTGGGTTAGGTGAATCTTCATCTTCAAGGAGACATCTCTGTTCTTCATCACTTGAAAGAGGACTTTTGCAGCAGATTTGCTCAATGCAATACATTATCTGATGTCTTGACTGCTACATCCATTGGTGTTGATT